ATTTTCTGACGCTATTTTTTAATTTAGTAGCAACTATTTCAAAATACAAAGGGTTTTGAACGTGTTTGCGTTATTGCGGGAGGCAATTGTAGGAGCAATGGCTCTAATCTATGTGAAGTGGAAAAAAAAAATTCTCGCTGAACCGAACATTGTGTTCATTGAACCTAACGTTAGGTTCTCAGTCCAACGAATAAATTTTATTTTAAGCAAATGACATTAAATTTGTTTGGTCTTTTTTTTTTCCTTTTCCTTTTATTTTTCCTCTCGAGTTGGGTTTCCGTATACTAAAAAATTTTAAATGAATTTTTTTTTTATAAAATAACCGAACGTCCAAACCCACAAATGGAAAATATTATTTTAAAATGCTATTGGTTTTTAGACACTATTTTTTAATTTAGTAGCAACTATTTCAAAATTCAAAGGATTTTGAACGTGTTTACATTATTGCGGGAGGCGATTGTAGGAGCAACTGTTCTAATCCATGTGAGGTGGAAAAAAAATCTCGCGATGAGCCCAATGTTGGCTTCATTGAACCCAACGGGTTCTCGGTCCAAAGAATAAATTTCATTCGAAGCGAATGACATTAAATTTGTTTGGTCTTTTTTTTTTTTTTTCCTTTTTTTCCTTCACGAGTTGGGTTTTAAAACGTAAAGGGTTTTCAGACGCTATTTTTTAATTTAGTAGCAACTATTTCAAAATGCAAAAGGTTTTGAACGTGTTTATGATATTGCCGGAGGCGATTGTTGGAGCAACGGCTCAAATCTATGTGAGGTGGGGGTGGAAAAAATCTTGCGATGAGAACCCAACGTTGGGTTCTCAGTCCAATGAATAAATTTTATTTCAAGTAAATGACATTAAATTTGTTTGGTCTTTTTTTCTTTGTCCTTTTTTTTCCTCGCGAGTTGGATTTCCGTACATTAAAATTTTTTTAATTAAAAAAATGTTATTTTCAAATAACCGAACGTCCAAACTCGCAAATAGAAAAAAATATTTTAAAACGAAAAGGGTTTTATTTTTTAATTTAGTAGCAACTATATTTCAAAATGCAATGGGTTTTGAACATGTTTACGTTATTGCGGGAGGTGATTGCAGGAGCAACGGCTCAAACCTATGTGAGGTTGGGGGAAAAAATTGTTGCGAAGAGAACCCAACGTTGGGTTCTTTGTCCAATGACTAAATTTTATTTCAAGTAAATGACATTAAATTTTTTTGGTCTTTTTTTTCTTTTTCCTTTTTTTTTTCCTCGCGAGTTGAGTTTTCGTACACTAAAAAGTTTTAAATTAAAAAATGTTATTTTCAAATAACCGAATGTCCAAACTCGGAAATAGAAAAAACTATTTTAAAACGTAAAAGGTTTTCAGACGCTATTTTTTTAATTTAGTAGCAACTATATTTCAAATTGCAATGGGTTTCGAACGTGTTTACATTATTGCGGAAGGTGATTGCAGGAGCAACGACTCAAATCTATGTGAGGTGAGAAAAAAAAATCTTGCAACGAGAACCCAACTGTCCAATGAATAAACTTTATTTTTAGTAAATGACATTAAATTTGTTTGGTCTTTTTTTTTCTTTTTCCTTTTTTTTTCCTCGCGAGTTGGGTTTCCATACACTAAAAAGTTTTAAATTAAAAAAATGTTATTTTCAAAAAATCGAACGTCCAAACTCGCAAATAGAAAAAATTATTTTAAAATGGAAAGGGTTTTCAGACGCTATTTTTTAATTTAGTAACAACTATTTCAAAATGCAAAGTGTTTTGAACATGTTTATGATATTGCCGGAGGCGATTGTAGGAGCAACGGCTCAATTCTATGTGAGATGGGGAAAAAAATCTCGCAATGAACCCAACGTTGGGTTGTCCAACGAATAAATTTTATTTAAAGTAAATGACATTAAATTTGTTTGGTCTTTATTTCTTTGTCCTTTTTTTTTCCCTCGCGAGTTGGGTTTCCGTACACTAAAAAGTTTTAAGTTAAAAAAAAGTTATTTTCAAATAACCAAATGCTCCGTCCAATGAATAAATTTTATGACATTAAATTTGTTTGGTCTTTTTATTCTTTGTTCTTTTTTCTCCTCGCAAGTTGGGTTTTCGTGCACTAAAAATTTTTAAATTAAAAAAATGTTATTTTCAAATAACCGAATGTCCAAACTCGCAAATAGAAAAAAATATTTTATAACGTAAAAGGTTTTCAGACGCTATTTTTTAATTTAGTAGAACTATATTTCAAAATGCAATGGGTTTTGAGTGCTTTTACGTTATTGCGGGAGGTGATTGCAGGAGCAATGGCTCAAATCTATGTGAGATGGAGAAAAAAATTGTTGCGATGAGAACCCAACGTTGGGTTCTCTGTCCAATGAATAAATTTTATTTCAAGTAAATGACGTCAAATTTGTTTGGTCTTTTTTTTTTTCCTTCACGAGTTGAGTTTCCGTACACTAAAAAGTTTTAAATTAAACAAATGTTATTTTCAAATAACCGAACGTCCAAACTTGCAAATAGAAAAAAATATTTTAAAACGTAAAGGGTTTTGAGATGCTATTTTTTAATTTAGTAGCAACTATTTCAAAATGCAAAGGGTTTTGAACGTGTTTACATTGTTGAGGGTGGTGATTGCAGGAGCAACGACTCAAATCTATGTGAGGTGGGGGGAAAAAACTCTTGCGATGAGAACCCAACGTTGGGTTCTCAGTCCAATGAATAAATTTTATTTCAAGTAAATGACATTAAATTTGTTTGGTCTTTTTTTTTTCTTTTTCCTTTTTTTTTTCCTTGCGAGTTTATTTTCCGCACACTAAAATGTTTTAAATTAAAAAAATGTTATTTTCAAATAACTGAACGTCCAAAATCGCAAATAGAAAAATTATTTTAAAACGTAAAGTGTTTTCAGACGCTATTTTTTAATTTAGTAGCAACTATTTCAAAATGCAAAGGGTTTTGAACGTGTTTACAATATTGCTGGAGGCGATTGTAAGAGCAACGGCTCAAATCTATGTGAGGTGGGGGAAAAAATCTCGCAATGAACCCAACGTTGGGTTGTCCAATGAATAAATTTTATTTCAAGTAAATGACATTAAATTTGTTTGGTCTTTTTTTTCTTTGTCCTTTTTTTTTCCTCGAGAGTTGGGTTTCCGTGCACTAACAAGTTTTAAATTAAAAAAAAAATGTTATTTTCAAATAACCGAACGTCAAAACTCACAAACAGAAAATTTTATTTTAAAACGTAAAGAGTTTTCAGACACTATTTTTTAATTTAGCAGCAACTATATTTCAAAATGCAATGGGTTTAGAACGTGTTTACGTTATTGCGGGAGGTGATTGCAGGAGCAACGGCTCAAATCTATGAGAGCCCAACGTGTTTACTTAAAATAAAATATATTCATTGGACTGAGAACCCAACGTTGGGTTCTCATTGCAATATTTCTCCCCACCTTACATAGATATGAGCCGTTGCTCCTGCAATTATCTCACGCAATAACGTAAACGCTTTCAAAACCCATTGCATTTTGAAATATAGTTGCTACTAAATTAAAAAATAGTGTTCGAAAACCCTTTACGTTTTAAAATAACTTTTTCTATTTGCGAGTTTGGACGTTCGGTTATTTGAAAATATAATTTTTTTTAATTTTAAACTTTTTAGTGTATGGAAACCCAACTCGCGAGGGAAAAAAAAGACCAAACAAATTTAATGTCATTTACCTGAAATAAAATTTATTCATTGGACAGCCTAACGGTGGGTTCATTGTGAGATTTTTTTTCCCACACCTCACATAGATTTGAACTTGTGCTCCTACAATCACCTCTGGCAATATCGTAAACACATTAAAAACCCTTTAAATTTTGAAATAGTTGCTACTAAATGAAAAAATAGCGTCTGAAAACCTTTACGTTTTAAATTTTTTTTTCTATTTGTGAGTTTGGATATTCGGTTATTTGAAAATAAAGTTTTTTTAATTTAAAACTTTTTAGTGTATGGAAACTGAACTCGCGAGGAAAAAAAAGGAAAAAGAAAAGAAAAAGATCAAACCCAACCCTTTTTTTTCCTCGCGAGTTGAGTTTCCCTTCACTAAAAAGTTTTAAATTAAAAAATGTTATTTTCAAATAACCGAATGTCCAAACTCGCAAATAGAAAAAAATATTTTAAAATGTAAAGGGTTTTCAGACGCTATTTTTTAATTTAGTAGCAGTTATTTCAAAATGCAAAGGGTTTTGAATGTGTTTACGTTATTGCCGGAGGCGATTGTCGGAGCAACAACTCAAATCTATGTGAGGTGAGGGAAAAAAATTATCTCACAATGAACCCAACGTTGGGTTCTCAACCCAATTATTTTCCTTTATTTCAACTAAATGACATTAAATTTGTTTGGTCTTTTTTTTTTTCTTTTCCTTTTTTTTTCCTCGCGAGTTGGGTTTCCGTACACTAAAAAGTTTTAAGTTAAAAAAATGTTATTTTCAAATAACCAAACGTTCAAACTTGCAAATAGAGAAAATTATTTTAAAATGTAAAGAGTTTTCAGACACTATTTTTTAATTTTGTAGCAACTATATTTCAAAATGCAATGAATTTTGAACGTGTTTACATTATTGCGGGAGGTGATTGCACGAGCAATGCTCAAATCTATAAGAGGTGTGGGGGCCAGGGGGGGGAATCTTGTGATGAGAACCCAACGTTGGGTTCTCACTCCAACGAAGAACCTAACATTGGGTTCATCGAGGTTCACCAAAAAAAATACAAGGCGCCTTGGCCTTAGCGCAGCACTAAGGCCACGTCTCGCGCCTTAGCGCCTCAAAGGCGCGCCATTTAGAACAAAGGGCACACAAAAACAAACAAATCACATTTTTAACCATTATAAACTAATGTCATTAAATTCAATAGTAATTCAGGATCAAATAAATCACAATGATCCAACTAAGTTTTTCAAGAGACCTAGATATGATCCAATTATCTTTAGAAAATGTGAAAGGCGTTACTGAAGCCCGCTAAAATTTGAAAAGAAAAATGAAATAATATAAACGAGCAGTTTCATGCATTATGAAACTCTATAAATAGAAAAGGACAATATGCACAAGTAATTCTTGCTCAAATGCATAAACCTCTTTCACGTTTACCATAAGTGAATCATGTTCACGGCTTAACTTCCCTACATGTACATGATCATTCCATAGGTCTAGTTTATTCCGTAGTTTGGTTGGAGGCAAATCATGAGTCATGACAAAGAAAAACACCATTTAAGCCCCATTAAGGGCAACAACACCAGGTAAGGGTTTTCCCTTAAGAAGCCCTAAGCTCACACCACCTTTTCCACAGTAGCAACAGAGTCACGCCTCCAATGGTTATTGTCACTCCCTTCCCACTAAGCTCTGCCAATTTCTTAGCTATAGCCTGGAAAAGAATAAACAATTCATACATTTAATTTCAAGTATCCAGGTAAACACAACAGAATGAGATTAAATCACAATTCAACATTAGAATTGATCATCCACAAGCATATTCAAGATTCATAATATCACCAGGTACTGATCTTAAACGTAATAAAGGAGTTCTTTACCTGGTTTATGGTTTTCAAAGCTTGTGAATTTTTAGAAGCAATTTCAGCAATGAACATGGGTACCTAACAATGAAGAAAATTGAACATAAATATGGAATCCTAACGCTTCATTTGATCTATAACTGAAACAAATTTTACCACATATGAAAGACTCCCATTCCATATCCTATTGCCAATCTTCCAATGTCCAGAGGTAGAGATCACCACGAGCAAAAACTGTAACTCCTAAAGTAGATCAAAGGAAATAAAGAGTGACTCAACAGAATTTTCACATATTAAACAGGAAAAGGGAAAAACACCTTGAGTAAAACTGAAGGAATTAACAAAAAAATCCACAAAGAAGCAAAAAGCTAGCAAAAACATACTTGTTAGTTTGCTAAAGATATTCATACCTAGCAGCCGAGGTCATGCTGGGGCAAACTCTCTTTCAGACAGCTCTTTGGTATGTAAGGAATTATTTTCCTATAAGGACATTATAAGAAATGAATATAAATGTAATAAAATAAAGGTTTTGAATCATAAATTTAGGTATTACCTCTTAGTGGTTTATGCGATTGGAATATAGAGTTGGGGCCTCTTCCAAAGTAAGCATCACCAATTTATAAAGAAGTCTTCCAAAAGTCCAACATAGTTCAAAAGAACAACTAAATATCTTGACAAAAAAGTTGTCGTTGGTTTGTATGATATAATGTTTATATTGTACCTGCAAACAAAGGAGAACTTTTATATGAAGATATTTGATTGCTCTTTTGAACAATGATTATATAAAACCATCCACATGTGTTACCCCTTACCGCCATTCAATCGTCATGTCTATGAATTCTGTGGATGGTTGAATCAACCTTAAATGAACCAAACAATTGTGGGGTTGTCTTTGCCCTCTTGCCTCGCCTCATGCCTTCAGCATCTACAGCATAATTGGGGCTTGCTTCAAATGGCCCAGTAGGAGTTTGATCAACAGGACTTTCATGAGCCTCGGTTTCAAGATTCGGCCCTTCATCAATGATGTTGGCCGCTCCACTTTCATGAGCCTTGGTTTCAAGATTCTGCCCTTCACCAATGATGTTGGCCGCTCCAATATCAGTACCGCCAATATCACTTTCAACTCCAAGCATCATAGGCATTTGATTTGGCCCTTCATCAAAGATGTTGGCCACTCCACTATCAGTACCGCTAATATTACTTTCAACTCGAGGCATCATAGGCGATTTATTCGGCCCTTCATCAATGATGTTGGCCACTCTGCTATAAGCACCAATGCTTGGGCTATGAAAGTACTCCTCTAGATTACTTTCATCTCCTCCTGGTATCATTGGTGTTTGATGTTCTACTAAAAAGACTAAACATTAGTAATCCAAAACACCAAACAATTAACATTAACCAAAATGTCCATAAATTATCATTAGAAGTCGAAGCCCCTTGATTTTCATCCACATCTACCAAATAGAAAAAACACTATTACATTAAAACATAAATACCAAACATAAAAAACACGATTACATTAAAACATAAATAAAATTTAACACTGAAAAAAAGGACAAGATAAATAAATTACCATTTCCGTTCACTATTAAATTTAATCTCCGCTCCTCCCACAGTTTCACTGAAAAAAAGGACAAGATAAATAAATTACCATTTCCGTTCACTATTAAATTTAATCTCCGCTCCTCCCACAGTTTTACAAAATTTGCATATCTCAAAGCCCAGTCAAATTTTTGTGAAGCAGTGCGCTTCTTGTTGACGATAGCTAAGGATGGTTCACGTGGAACTAAATCAGCCTATAAGTTCAGCTTCAACGGGCACAAGTCTAGCCTGTGGTATGCCAATTTTTCAAAACATATTAATATTGTGCATGAAAGCGCAAGACTCATCTGCCGAATAAGATAATTGGGCAGAAAATCATCCCGCAATCTAGCATATGGCCGCCACATAATCTAACAAAAGAAAATAACATAAAATTAATTGACAATTAAAGAATATTAGAGTAGAGTAACTAAAATATCACATAAATGAAATAAACTTACATTGTCACTTGTGAGCATCAGATCAAATTCTTCTCTTTTCTTTTTATTATAACAATTTCTTGACTTGCGCTCCACTGATTGAGACCACCCAACCTTCAATGGAAATCTCAAAAATTACTCTCCATCCTCCAAATTATCTCCATAAATATCAACATTATAAAGAGTGCGGAGAATTATCGGCATGTGTTCATAAAAAAAATTACAGACAAATAAAAAATGTAAATTATAATTCATTAATTTATATAAATTATAGCAATGAAGGAAATAAATAAAAATAATACATACCGTGAGAAAAGGGGCACAAAAACTCATGATTTTTGGATTTTTGCCATTAATTCTTGTCATCTTAAATTCTCTCAAGCTGTGATACAAATGGCATAACAAAGCAGCTCCCCATGCATAATTCCTTATGGCATCAGCATTTCTCAACAAGGAGAGATACATGCAAGGCACCAACCTTGAATCCCTTGGAGGCATAAGAAAACATCCAATAACATAAAGAACGTACGCCCTAACATAAGGGTCAAGGCCAGCTCCAACTATATCTAGGGAAATGTCCTTAAAATGTAGTAGCTCTTTAATAATTATGTCACATTTGTTCTTCTCATGAAGAAACCTAGCAGACAAAACCAATTCATTGCAAATGTCCGAACATTCAGCTGCTTTGTAATCACAGCCAGTTACGGGCATGCCATCAATTGGAAACCCCGTAATCCTAGCTACATCCTCCAATGTCGGGGCTATTCTTTCTTCACTGATAATAAAGTATGACAACTCGATAGAATAGGAATCAACTAATGCCAATAAAAAATCGATTGTCACCCTATAATCCATGTTGATCCTTGAAAGAAGATCAAAACCAGAGCCCTCTAGTCTCTGCAAGACAACATGAGCTGGCTGCCAGTCCTTAAGCACCCTTAGATGTGTTCTACTCTTGTACATTTTTCCTGTAGCAATGATAGATTTTGAAGTTACTACATTAATAGAACATAACGTTATTAACAACTTAAGCTCCAAGACATATTACAGGTACAACACATAGTTACATAATGAAATTTATCAGCTTAAGCTCCAGGACATATTACGGGTACAACACATATTTTCGAAGCTGGCAAAGTTGGTCAAGCGTAAAAAACTCATTGTCAATAATATCTACCCATCCCAATAATACAAGATAGTTCACCATAGCTTCAGGCAAAACGTCCAACCTATTAGGTTCATCCGAGGACCCCTCTCCCCCTTCATCCTTCACATGTTGCCCACACAGATTTTTATGTGACTTCCAAGTCTAAAAATCTTTAGTTTTTGATAATGTCTTCACATGTGGCGTGATAAAAAAAAGGATGATCTCTACATTCAAAAGCTGAATTTCATACACTGTCACAGTTAAGTTACAAGCTACATAGGTATCATGAAGGTGGCTATATATACCTACTAACTCAGCCTCTATGTTGATAAATGATATAAAATATAGTTAGCCCTTGAAAGCCATAATTTTGCCAAACTAAAAGGAATGCAATGATATTGTACATAACCTGTAGCTTTGGTTCTTCTATCTGAGCATGAGCACTAAATATTTCTATTATGAGACCTACACGGTTCAATACAGGTTTGCCCTAGGCCCATTATGAGAGAATGCATACAAGGAAAAACTACAATTAATAACATTCAAGAAAGTACATAACAAATTAAAAAGGTATAAGATCCTAAAATCATTCACAAAAAGCAACCAATACAGCAAACTTGCCTCCAAATTCCGCTACTGAATACCAGTTAGGATAGTGTTCACAAAAATAGCTTCCACTCCATCCTATAAATGGAGTAAAAAGAGATAAGCATATATGACTTCCATCATGATGATACCTATGAATGCCATTATGCCATTGAATATTCTTTCAGTCTTCGAGACACGATCCAAATTAGTCTATCTTAAATTTTACAGGCTAAAGAGGCAGATTCTGTAGCTGTTATTGAGAGATTCCTCACTTCTCACTTGTAGACTTACTATTAATAATTCAACAAAAACAACCGCATCAGTTGAGCTCAATACCATCCATCATGTCTTATTATCCATTCCAGTTATATGTTTTTAGCTTCATGCAGTTTATATTTTTCACTGGGTTTCCTTTTATGTTATTTTTATTCCAATTTTCTTCATATGTAGCATAGACAAAACATGTTTCTCAATAAAGCTAAATTTGTAGACATGCACTCATTAAACATAGCTAGAATTTCAACTAATTTACATCTTAGTTGGAAAAATATCTAAACAGAACAATGTTGGTTACAAATAGGATCTTAAAGGAAACTACAAAATAATAATCATTTCAAAATACAATCTGGGATTACCCGTGTAAATCGGGGGAAAAAATCAAAAAACAAAAAAACAAAAAAACAAAAAAAAATTAAAAAAAATCGAAAACAATTCAAGAAAATCAAAATAAAATCAAAGACCCATCGTAGTATATCCCCTTTAAAATAGAAAATGATCATAAAAATTAATTGTATTGGCGTAGCTAATAAACATTCTAGGTAAAAAATGAGGAATAACATTAAATTAGTAAAAAAAAAAAAAAAATAACATATAGAGAAGGATAAATTCGTTTGACAAGTAGCATAACATATGAGAGTAAATGTTAGTTCAAATCCAATCTTTCAGTTATGAATGCTTATTGGAGTATATATTTTCAGCCTCTAAAGTGTTCATCACAAAATTTAGAAAGACTCTCCGGAATCCAAACATAGATTAAAAGAGCAATTAAATATGTTTACAAGATTTAACAATAAAAAGGCCTATTGTTAAAATTAACACTAAATTTTATGCTTAGACAAGCACGACCCAACATCGTTTCTGTGTATTTACATGTCAGAGTCATACATAAAGTATTCCACAAATTACATCAATGACAAACATGCTCATACATAAACTCATTCAAATGAATCGATGTTCGGTCTTTGTTAAACAAACCTTAATTGATTCGATGAAGGCATCATTGTGAGAAATAAAAAATATATATTTAATTGAACACTACATAAATTAAAATAATGAAGACACAATGTTTAGTTCAAATATACAGAAAAAATTGGAATCTAAAATTAAAAACAACTCTGCAAGCATCACCAATTATTTTGAAGAAAAAGTAAATTTCAAACAAACCAAATATGAAATCGATGTACCAATGGTCAGCGCTCCTAAATTTTGTTGCTAATGTTATGTTCCGTTGTAAGAGTTTCACACAACTCCAAAAAAAAAAAGGTAATAGATTAGAACCCAAAACACACAACAAAAACATGAAATGAAAATAATTTAGGTACATAAAAGTGATAAATGATGGAGTACACTTATGCTCTATCCTTTTTATGCCCTTCACTGTCAAAACAAATTTAATTTTCATTGTAGAATACAAAGACAATACCTTGTTATTGAGAAAGGGGCTTCATTCGGAATGAAAGCTCCACAAGGATCTCGAGATCATTTGAAAAAACAGAAACATTCAAACATTTCAGATGGAAAAAAATTCTAAAATAAATGTACCGAATCTAAAAAAAATTTTAAAAAGAAAATGTCCGACCTTTCTACAATCAAAAAGTTCTAGATGTAAATATTTCCCTATCGGAACTCATTCATACAGAGAAATCCAGATTGGAGAAGCCAAAAATGAAATTGCAGTGCGAGAGGCGACAAGGGCAGCCGATGGAGGGTTTTGATCCGCAGAGAGAGAGTGAGGGGAAACGGAAAGGTTGGGTTCTATTTAATATTTATTTTAATATTATTTTATATTAATATTTATTTAATATTTGATTAATTAATTATTTTTTATTTATTTATAATATTAGTTGACATTATTTAATATCTGAATAATTTATAATATTGTGCTTTTTATTGAACTAGCGTTAAGTACGTGATTTGCACGTCTTATGTATCAGGTGAATTATATACGTACTATTTTTTGGAAGTTGTTGAGAAAATTGATAATATTAAAGAAAAAAGTATAATTATTAAATATAATGAATATATCATATATGAATAAAACTTTTTATTGAAATGAAATGTGTATATAATGTTAAAATATTGAATAAAATGAAATATAATCTTTTAATTACAATAACACTTCTTCAAATACAATATTTTTTTATCAACGTCTCATGACTTTTCATTATTTTATTTGTAGTTCACATAAACACAAATATGTAAATCATATAAAAATATTCATACACATATAAATTATTGGAACAAAAACACAATTAATCTACTATTATATTAATGCAGACCTTTATATATTATAATATTTTTTTATGAATATGTATTATATATATTTAGCTTCAATTTTAAGTAATTAAACTTAAATTGATTTATATAAAACACTCCAATGTAAAGTAATGAAATTTATATTTTAAAGGAGTTAAAATGAAGTAAAGTTATATTAAATTTTGGACTTAGTTACTTACTATTCAATTTTGATGAATAAAAAATATCATTATCTACTTTTTTAAGGGTAATGAATGTGATTTTATTTTTTTGATTATTCGATTTCTTTAAAAATTGTTGACCTTGATTTTCATTGTGGTTATATGATTTTCACTCTCATTGAAAGTATTTTCAGTTTTTTCTTATTTTAATGAAGGTAAATCAAGACAAGAACGCATGTTCAATAATGATTAAAAAATATTATTACATACTATTGTTTTTTGGAAAAATATATTTCTATAATTTCTTTTAATTGTATGTGATAATATCTTTATTAAATAATTATTAATAATTGAGTTTAGTGGAAATTAATTGACTCAATTTTCGAAAGCAATAATAATTATTAATTATCTTATTTAGAGGAAATAAATTGAATCATTTGGTATTCTGTAGTTAATTATATATGTAGTATTATTATTTCTTTTAATTGTATGTAATGATATTTTTATTAATTGTGTGCTAATAATTGTGTTTAGTGGAAATTAATTGAATTAAATTTTCAAAAGCAATAATAATTATTAATTATCTTATTTAGAGGAAATAAATTGAATCATTTGGTATTTCATTTTTATCTAAACTTAGGTATATGCATTATTAATTGTCAATTAGAACAAATTTTAAATAAGGGTAAATAATAAATATAGCATATTAATGCAACTGATTTCTTTAAAAATTGTTGACCTCAATTTTTCCTTGTGGTTTTATGATTTTCACTCTCATTGCAAGTATTTTCAGTTTTTTCTTATTTCAATGAAGGTAAATCAAGATATTATTACTACTATTGTTTTCTGAAAAAAAATATTTATATAATTTCTTTTAATTGTATGTGATAATATCTTTATTAAATAATTATTAATAATTGTGTTTAGTGGAAATTTATTGACTTAATTTTCGAAAGCTATAATAATTATTAATTATCTTATTTAGAGGAAATAAATTGAGTCATTTGGTATTCTATAATTGATTATATATGTAGTATTATTATTTCTTTTAATTGTATGTAATGATATTTCTATTAATTGTGTACTAATAGTTGATTGCATTTTTATCTAAACTTCGGTATACGCATTGTTAATTGTCAATCAGAACAAATTTTAAATAAGGGTAAATAATAAATATAGCATGTTAATGCACCCTTTCATTTTTATTTTTATTCTAATTTTCTTTTTGTAAACCAAATGAGGGTATATTGGACATATAGGTAAATGTGTAATGTATAATTGGTATTTAAAAGTTTCTCCTCAATTCACACTTTTAATATATTGTAGATATTTAATAATTTATTTAATTATTTAGTTGTTTTAATATTAATATTTATTTAATATTTGATTAATTTATTTAATTATTTTATTTAAAGAAAACAAGTTAGCCTATAAATACGAAAACTGGAAGATCAATCTTCAACAAGTTAGTTGAAGTTACGGCACTTGGAATTACACTAATTCAAAAAATGAAATAATTATGATATTTGTGTTTTTGTTGCCTGTTGGACTGTAAAGCAGTCCAAACTAGGTGTCATCTTTGATCAACTAAAACTAGGGATGACAATTTGAACCGTCAAAATCGAAAATTGCAGTAAACCAAACCGAATGAGGACGAAAAAAATCGAACCGATAGTGCAATGGGGCAAATATGATATTTGATTTTAATGAACCGATTCAAGATGGAACGGATATGGTATTTATGCCGGTTAACCGAACCGAACCCAACCGTTTACCCATTAAAAAAATAAAAATTGGACAATTGATTATTGGGCTTTCCACTATTTTTCTATCAAGCCTAAAACAAAATTATGCCCATTACAATTTTAGTGGAAACTGATTGACTTAGTTTTCGAAAGCAATAATAATTATTAATTATCTTATTTAGAGGAAATAAATTGAATCACCTCGTATTCTTTAGTTATTATATATGTAGTATTATTATTTCCTTTAATTGTATGTAATGATATTTTTATTAATTGTGTACTGATAATTGTGTTTAGTGAAAATTAATTGACTAGAGGAAATAAATTGAATCATTTGGTATTTCATTTTTATCTAAACTTAAGTATACACACTATTAATTGTCATTAGAACAAACTTTAAATAAGGGTAAATAATAAATATAGCATATTAATGCAACCTTTCATTTTTATTTTTTTAATTTACTTGTTGTAATCCAAGTGAGGTAAATGCAAATCCTACTCGTATAGATATAGGTGATGATGAGGAGCCGATCGAGGAAATTAGAAAAAGAAAATTGACCTCTTCAGCATTTGCATTTTCGTTTTGAATGTTGTTTGATAATGTTTGCATTTTTGTTTGGAATATCGTGTTTTGTTTTCATTGTCTTTTTTCATAAATTGATTTATATCAATTTGACGGATGAACCTATAAAAAATAATTTATTTTCGTGGTTATTAACCGAACCGAACCGAGTTGAACTGAGATACGAATCGAACCGAACCAATTTACGTGGTTATGGTGCAGTTATGGTATGACAAAAAATTTGGCGGTTTGGTGATAGTGGGAATTCTCCCGTTCCCCGGTCAAAGACTTGGTTGGATGCGCGATCTACATCATGAGGAGCGGTACAGACGTAGATGATATCATCACGACCTCTCTTTTCATACCACTAGGGATGCTTAACGCCACTTCGTCAACTGGTGTTACCTGTGCTTTCGTGTCTCTTAGTGTGGTCAGCACTAGGTGTTTCCAAGCAGCGAAGCTTACACTCATTTGCATTAGTTCATCCAAAGTTCCTTACTATCAAGGTTAAGGAGTCAACTGAGCATTTCAGCGACGGGATTGAATACCTAGATCGAATCAGATTTCATGCCATCCTCCTTGAACAAATAGGAGGCGTGGGCCACAAGTCGTACATAAGCCTCTGGGTCGCACGACAAAAGAACATCCAACATAAAGATGCACACTCCTCCATGTGAAATATTCATCTTTATTGGAGCTTTTTGTGGTAGTCGTGACCAACAGCCACCAGCTATCAGCTCTTTGGTAAGGTGAGAGCTTCTAGCGCATCCCCCCCCCAAGCATCGCCCGATGAAGGGAGGACAGGGAAAGCTACAAGCTGAAAAGCTTCGACCCTTCTTTCGGGGCACCTTATCTTGTCATTTCGTTGTTGCTCATTCCCATTAGGCCTAAGTGTTTTGCCTTTCCTTCTCCGCGCCCGCTCACGCTTCGCTGACCTATCGCGTGGTAAAAAGAAGAAAGTATGAAAGAATAGTAAACGGAGCACACCGCAGTAAGATTCTAAATATGATGAGTATACCAAGCTCATCCAAGCAGCCCATCAAGCACCTTCCTTCAGGAACAAAGATCATTACTTTTTCCCTCAAGTCCCCAAGCTAGGTAGCTCTTATGCTTGTTAGCATCCCACTAAGATGAGGTTCTCTTTGAGGTCTGAAACAACACTTAATATTATTGTTGCTGTATTTCCTTGCTCAGCACATGAAGTAGTAAGAACATCAAAAGTCGTGTCGGTCTCTACAAGCATGTGATCAAGTCTTTAACATCCAAAGCAGACAGTAGAGTAATTATCTGTCGATTCAAAAAACTAGGCTGAAATCTAGTCCAAGAACAAATTTCAAAGATCGTATGATTTGACTCGAACTTTTCCATGTTTGGTCTGAGATACAAGTGGATCCCATCATTTTCTGCAGGTCAACATGCAACAACACCTTTGCAACTTGCATATGTGATCTGATAAGTACATGGAGGATTTACAGTCAACTAGAGTTTCTCTGTAACTCTCATTGCAAGATCAGGGGATATTTTTATCGATTCCATCAGAGAAATCATGTCCATTCCTTTTAATATTGGGAAGCTCAGGATCAACCTCAGCTGCTAGAACTATCACTGTGGTATAAGTTAACAAGAAACCTACCCATCCAACTCATAATGCTAGGCACTCCAATAGTTTTGTTTTCAGTAAAAAAATCAGGCTGATTGTCTTGCAGTTGATTAGCTGAATAAGCCAGAAAAGAGTATCTTCGACCATACAAATAGAACCCATTACTCAATATATCCTTCACCCTTTTGAACATTGAAGTTCTTTGCGGATTAAAATCAGACGCGATGTCCATTAAAATGTCAGAAGAATAATAAGTACATTTTATTGAGTTTCTGCATTTCCTCATCCATAAAAGTAACCCTGAGGAAACAATCAGCTACATTCTTGTAATTCCTATCCCCAAATCTGTAGTCACATTACACGTGCTGAATGAAAATGGCAACACGCAATAAACGTTGCTAAAAGATCAACGGCAACACGCA